GTTACACTCCACTGTCACCGGTCGACCGGTTTGCACTTCCTCTATCCCAAAAGTGTTGTAAAACCTGTTTTTGACCCCAAAACTCAATGGAAAACCAACTCAACTTCACTTGAGATCTCAAAGTAAGTTGATTAGCCACATTCATCCGTGTACCATTCCATTTTTCTTGTTTGAATTCCAATTATCAAAGAATCATGATTTGAATTATGAAATTTGTTTATAAACTTTGATTTTGAGTCAAGGCACACTAGTATGATACAATCGTACATAATTAAGCTAGATTCTTTGGAGGTGAGGTCTCAATCCTAAAACATTGTTTTGATGAAGAAGCTAGCGGCATGATTGGACGTGAAGCTTCAAGAATAGATGGTTGGACAACGTGAAGTTATCAGTAGACTAAAATATCCGAGAGGTAGGATATTCTTGTCCATATCCTTGATAACCCTATTCAAATTGATTTTGGCATATGAAAACGTTTTAAAGATAAAACGTATTTGATATCATTGAGATTTAAAGAAGGATTTAAAGTAATATCTTCTTAAAATGAGATATTTTTAGAAATAGTCAAACGCATGATGGCCTAGAGATTGGGGTATGGAAATCATATCCTTAGGGGAGGTCCTGAAACTCATACGGGCTACTTCGGTGGTGATATTATGGCTTTACGATAAGGTAAGTGATTTTTCATAATCTTGAAATCACTTACTGTAATATGAAACTTGAAATTTGTGATTACTTCCTTTCATTAAAAAGGATGTTTGGTTTCGAATCATATGTTTGGACCATGCGCTTTTGTGTATTGATAAAGTTTTATGAAATTATATCCTACTGGGTCTTTCGCTCACTTTTTCTCTGTTTTCAATGTATTAAACCCCTCACAGGCGACACTAGAAATAGTGCCGAGTAGATAGTGACTACCAGTGACACTAGCACGAACTCCAAAAGAGAAAAAGTTGTAGTTTACTTCCTTCCTTTCCGCTTATTACAAAGGCATGTGTAAATTATGATTTGTAACCTTAAATTCTACTAGACTGTGGTTGATGTCAGTGTATTACTTTTCTGTTTTGTTTATGTATATACAAAAAAATAGATTTTCCTGTGGGGGATCCTAATGTGATGCCAGAGGCTGGGTTTGAAACTGGTTTTGTTTGAGAAAACCCACCTCCTTTTAGGTTAAATCAAGAATCGTTACACAATTCCAGAATTACACTTCAGTTACCTCTTTGTCCACTTGAAGGCCCCATGTTATTTTTATAGGCATAATTACTGTTAAACAATATACTGGATTTGTCTTTAATTTCGTAAGGTCAAGGCGATCAGTACCAATCATAGCAATGCTTTTATTAATTAATCCCATTGTTGGTTAGCTGATATTAAATTGGAAGAAGGCGTTAAAGAGCCTTATCTATTTAGTTAAAAAAAACCATGTTGCTGCATCATGCACCTACTCTATTATAGTTTAAATGTGTTGTCCCTACAACTTAATTGAGTATTTAATTTCTTAAATGGTCAATATTAAAATTAAACTAACTAATAAAGTAATCTAAACATTGATGAATACTTGATCATTTTTTATCTTAAAGGTGACAAGTCCTAGCCAAAGACCAGTCAATAGCTAGCGGTGCAATTTCTTATTCTACCTTAATAGTAAAAAAAAAAAAAAGGACATTTTCAAGAATGCCATAAAAAAGATAACACTATTTTATTTCTACCATTAATTTTAAATTTATTATTTGTCTTTAATGTACTGGTACGTCATATTCAATCAGAATATTTTTTCAGGCAGAATAGTTTTTGTATTCTACAAGAATATTGTTTTGGTGGCATAAATAATAGGCAATTTTGTATGGACACCCCCTCAACTTTATGAATTTGGCAAGTTGGTCCTTTAACTTTTTTTCTTGGCAATTCACCCCTTAAACGTTAAAATTTGTTGCAATGTTAGTCAAATTAAAAACGAAGTTAAAAATTTAAATTGTATCTTCCATGTGAGTGTTTAATGAGGGTAATAATTGATCCTCATATACGCGTCACGAGCAAAAAGTTTTTGAAATTGGGAGTTAACCATTTTTGGAGACAAATTGGGGCTCCCCAATTTCAAAAAATTTCTCTTTCATGATATGTATAAAGGGTTCAATTCCATGTAAAAATACCAGAATTATCATTATTAAACACTCGCGTGAAAGATACTGTCTAAATTTTTAACTTTGTTTTCAATTTGACAAATATTGCAACAAATTTCAAACTTTAAGGGGTGAATTGCCAAGAAAAAAAGTTAAGGGACCAAATTGCCAAATTCATAAAGTTGAGGAGGTGTCTATGCAAAATAGCCAAAATAATAGGATGATGAAAAATAATGGATATTCTTGTAATTGTTTCGTAGAAGGAAAATTTCCTCTATGCAGGGAAAGCAAGATATAAAAAACAAAATGGCCGTTTTCACTTATGCTTATGGCATTTACATTCCTTATTCTTCTCTTCCACACAATTTTCTCTGCAGTTGATATAATTAACGTGGAGGCTCATTTAGAAGTTAAACATGATTAGGAAAGTAATTAAACATCTAAAAATATAATAATAAAATCAAAGTAAACTATTAAAGAAATTTCTAAACAAGCCCCACGTTTTACTTAAATTAAATTAGAAGAAAGTGATGGGGACTTTCACACTTTCCGATAAAAGAGGTTCAAAAACTAAGCCTCCGGCGTCATTCAGGCCTTCACCCATAGGATATACAATATTATACATACATGAATATGTAATTAACATTACAGACATTAACCACCGTCTAAAAACTTAAGGTTTAGAGTTTCAGAATTTACAGTCCTTACATTTGTACACAAGGATGGAAGAGTGCAATGTCCTCACTTGATCAGATGGTAGCAACTAACTCAGCTACTCAGTATTGATCCTAGCATCACCTGGGAGGGGTTTAATATTTATAGAAACAAAATAAAACATGAGCGGAAGGCCCAGTAGGATGTACTTTGAAATAAACTTTATAAATAAGTAAATAAATGAATAAGTAAGTGAATAAAGATAATCAGCTCCAACACAACAGCCGGAACCTCACATCCTTTTTTTGAAAGGAAATATAAACTGAAAATTTCGTATTACAGGCATCAGCAAGTAATTTATACTATGATAAATTACATACGCAACCACAAGCACAAGCCTTATCACCACCTTAGTGCCCCGGTCCGGGTTTTGGGTTATGCCCCCAAGGATACACTCTCCATATCCTATCTAGGCCATCAGCGGGCTTACCGTTTCGTAAGATATCTTATCTTAAGAAATCATTCATTAAACTTCTGAAATAGTTCATTATAATTCCAATAGCTAAAATCAAGCTAGTGTTAAAACACTTTTCTTCCGCAAACATGTCCTCTCCTAAAAACATTTACAAGGCCAAAAACTCTTTACAACAGGCTATCAAAGAAAAGGACAAGAAATCCTACCTCTCAGGTACCAAACCTGTGGCTAGCATTACGCTATTCCCGCTTTTGCTTCCTCAAAGCCTTCAATTTGATTCAATTCTCACTCTTAAAGCAAATCAATCTCAATTATACACCTCGATTTCCTATTAGTGTGCCTTAATCCAATTACAAGTTTCAAAAATCATTTCATGTTTCAAATCATCATTCCAAGGGTTTTAATCTCAAAACATGGATTAATGATGCCAATCAATCTACTTTAGGTCCCCAAATGAAGCTAATTTGGGTTCTCTTTGAAAATCAGGGTCAAAACAGGGTTTTAGACAAAAATCGGTTCAAACTTCGTGTGCACTGGTCAACCGGTGACAGAGAGGTTGTTCTCCACCGGTCGGCTGGTGGAGAAAGAACCGGTCAACCGGACCGGTCAGCCTGTGGGAATCTACAGGGCGAAGAAACTCGCCGAATCAGCTCAAAAACTTGTAAATCCGAGTTTGATTCGAGATTTTTCAAAGGAAAATTACCAAATATAGGTTCCAAATGATAAATCCAGTCCAAAGAACCAAAAATCCCCAATTTCCACCGTGATTTTACCCGAAATCCATCAAAATCCATTTCGAGCTAAAAATAGGTTTTCTAACCGAAAAATTTGAGCTTCAAGAGAAGTTTTCAGAAATCTTACCTCAATTCCTTCTCTTGACGTTGAAAACTCCTTAAAATTCTTCTTTGGTGTGAAATCCGGTTGATTTTGTGAAAAATTAGAGAGAGAGAGTTTGAACGAGAGAGAGAGGGAGAGAGAGTGAAAAATGACAGAGAAAAAGGGAGAGTGAGGGTGCATGGGAAGGAAAAGAAAGGAAAAGAAAAAGAAAAATGAAAGAAAAACATGTGTCAAAATATTTAAGAAAACGGTTCAGGAAATGTGTCTATACACACTTCTGAGGTGAAAATATAAATACTGAAAACATTTAAATTCCTTGGAATTTTTTAAATTTACACGTCAGAAACATTTAATAAAAATAATTATTTAATTATACCAGATTAGACACACTAATAAATCTTAATTATCTTAATTAATATCACTTAATTTCTCGAGGTGTTACAATCCCAACCTATAAGCGATGGCACAACTTTGGCGCTATAATGCATCTCTGATCAGCAGTAAATTTAGCCGTTAAATTTAGCTCAATTACTTTTCTTTCAGAGCCTGTATGGCAAATTGTAGCCCTTATTTGACTTGAAAGAGGTTAAAGTTGAATATATATCCATGCAGTTTAAAACATTATGGTGCATAGAAAGCAAAAAAGAAACATGTTAGTTTATTGGCTGGAGATAAAATGTTCAACTATGCCCTCCGGTCAACTGAAAACTGACATGCATTTTCGTATTAGTTTTCACTATTATATTATGCAAATTGTCCCATAGCGAGTTTACTTGGTCATGAAGTTGACACCATGCCAAAGACTTGCATACCATTCAATTGTTTGCCGTGTCCGCAAAGCCGAATGACACGCCAATATTCTACCTTCAACATATACCACCTACAGAAAAGAGTGCTAAAAATAGAAACAAATGGCCGTTTTTAATACTATTATGCTTATAATTGCCATTATTTTCCCTATTCTCTTCCAAACAGTTTCCTCTGCAGTTGATAGTATTCATTCATTTGAATCAATCAGTGATGGTACTACCTTGGTTTCTAAAGAAGGAAGCTTTGAGTTTGGGTTCTTCAGTCTCGGAAATTCCAAGAATCGTTATGTGGGAATTTGGTACAAGAATATCCCAATCCGAACTGTCGTTTGGGTTGCAAACCGATGCAACCCTATTAATGACTCCTTTGGCTTGTTGACTGTAAATAGCACAGGCAATCTTGTGCTCATGTATCAGAACAAGAGCGTTGTTTGGTCGACGAACTCATCGAAACAAGCCAAGAAGCCATTAGTGCAGCTTCTAGATTCTGGAAATCTTGTACTAAGAGACGAGGAAGATAGAAACTCGGAAAACTATTTGTGGCAAAGCTTTGATTATCCTTCTGATACAGTATTACCAGGGATGAAATTTGGATGCGACTTAAAGAAGGGTCTCAACCGGCGATTATCGGCATGGAAGAATTGGGAGGACCCTTGTCCTGGAGACTTTACTTATGGGGTTGAGTTTGATCGAAAGCTTCATACATACCCAGAATTTTATCTTCGAAAGGGAAACACAACGTACTACCGCACCGGACCCTGGAATGGAATTCGTCTCAGTGGCGTACTGGAACAAAATCTAAACCAGTTTTATACTTATAACTTTGTTTATAATGACGATGAGGCGTATTACGTATACAACCTGAAGAATAACTCGGTGATCTCAATAATCGTTATAAACCAAACCACAAGTTTACGTCAGCGCCTTACATGGATCGAAGCAGATCAAGCTTGGAAACCTTACTCAAGTTTTCCTAGAGATGACTGCGATAAGTACGGTGCGTGTGGAGCCAATGCAAATTGTGACATAAACGAAAACCCGTTCTGCCAATGCCTTAGAGGATTCAAGCCCAAGTCTCAAGAGAAGTGGAATCTAATGGACTGGTCTGAAGGATGTGCAAGGAATAATCCACTGAACTGCACGGTGAATGATAATGATGGATTTATCAAATTTTGGGGGTTGAAAGTGCCGGATACGACACATTCATGGGTGAACAAGAGTATGAATACAAAGGAATGCAGGGCCAAATGTTTAAGCAACTGTTCTTGTGCGGCTTTTACAAATACTGATATCACAGGACAAGGCACTGGTTGTGCCATATGGTTTGGTGATCTGATGGATATCAGGCAAATTCCCAATGGTGGACAAGATCTGTTTATTCGCATGCCAAGTTCAGAGCTAGGTATGAGCCTAATTATTTCACATAATATCATTATGTATGTTTATATATAGACGACTTTTCATTTTGTTACTTTTCTATCAACAGTTATTGTCAAATATAGAAATTTGATAATGTGTCATGACAACATATAAAGGAAAAACTGGGAATAAGATGAGAGCAGCGATAGTGGCCGCATCTGTCATTGGAGGTTTTTCTGGGATGCTCATGCTCCTACTTGGCTTTTGCTTTTGCAGGAGAGGCTCAAAAGGTAATAATTTTTATTCTACTTTCAAGTCAATTTCCTGCCAAGAGAAAATAATAATAATAATTATAATAAAGATGAGCTGCAGTGACAGAGACATAATTAGCAAAATAACTTGAACAAAACAATCTCATAAATGGAGAAACGCAATCAGGAAACTACTTCCAAGTACTTTACAGATTATTCTTATTACGGTATTGGTATGATAACATATTTTAAAAACTGCTTTTTAAGTAAATAACATATTTTTAAAACCATTAAAGTAAATAACATATTTAATGATAAATATTTATTTACCAAGCCATTAAAGTAAATAACATATTTAATGATAAATATTTATTTACCAAGCGTAAATACAATATGCCGAGTATTTATTGGTATATATAGATTGTATTTATACTATGGTAAATATTAGATTTACACCAGGTAAATAAATATGGTATTTATTAGGTTAATCGTTTTAAAAATATTCTATTTATTTAAAAACAGTGTAAAAAACTTTCTATTTACTACACTAAGAATTGATATACATATGAGTTGTGCATATGTTAAAGAAAAAAGAAACAATCTGTTGACAGGACATGACGGAGTAATCTTGATAAATACTTTTTAAAAATACATGAGTCAAGATTTTTATTCTTTATTTTTGATTTATAACTTTTTTAGTCAAATAATTACAACAACAAAAGAATTTTTAAAGAGAAAAGTCTAGACTTGTACAATGGTAAATTCTCCACTTGGGGGGGCTCATGGCCCGCAGCCCAAGTGTCCCATTATATAATTTTCAATTAATAGTTTTATACCCTATTTTTTATTATTTAACGCTCAATCTTTTTATAATTTCAAAGTGACCACGTATCAAAGTAGTCCCAATTATCTAACTATACATAATAGTTTTCAAAACCGTTACTGTTCAATGAACAGTAACGTCAACCGAAACATGCGTTCTGATTGAAACGCACGTTTTGGCCCCTTGAGCATTTTTTTTATTCATCTCTTCTGATGGTTTTTTTTTCTCTTTTTTTTTTTTACTTTCAATCTCTTCTTTGGCCTTTTCACTTTTTCAATCAAAATTTTATAGTTTTCGTTCTTTCCCTTTTTAATTTTTTCTGATTCGTTTACCAAAATTAATTTTTTTTGGCCGATGTTATCATACCTAGATATTTTTTTCAGCAATGGAGTCCTAAAACATATTTATTTCTTTATTTTAGTCCTTTTGATCTTTTTTTTTTATTTTTATCTTAAAATTTCATTTTCCTATCATTTTAGTTCCTTTCGCCGTAAAACTTATTTACTTCTTCAGTTTGGTCATTTTTTTTATCTTTTCTTTTTATTTTTGCATTGAAACTTAATTTTTTTTGTCGTTTTGGTATTCCTTTTTTACCCTTCTTTTGTCTTAGTCCTAATATTTTATTTTTTTTCGGTTTTAGTTCCTTTTGTCCGAAACATTTTTATTTCTCCGCTTTTATCCTTTTTTACCCTTTTCTATTTTTGCCTCGAACTTGATTTGTTTTTCATTTTTGTCCATTTTGCCCTAATACTTATTTTTTTCAATTTGCGTCCTTTTCTTGCCCTTTTTTTTAATTTTTGTCCTTAAGCTTTTTTTGTTTTTTTTTTTTTTGTTTTGGTGTCTTTTGCCCTAAAGCATATTTACTTCTTCATTTTTGTCCTTTTGTGACCTTTTTTTAAACTTCTTACGCAAAAACTTTATTTTTCTTTTCATTTTGGTTCCTTTTTGAGATTTATATACTCAGATGTTATATTTTTTTAATAATAACTTGGTAATTAAAACTTAACATATAGATTACTCCCTACATACGTAGCACGTGGAGTTCAACTAGTATATTTTATAAAATTTTTAGTTCCCCCCTTCCCCAGACATGTTAATATTTTGCCTCCCCTTCCCTTTTTTTTTTAATGATTTGAAATTATATGTAAATGTTTAAAAAACTTCATTTACACTTGTATTTTACTTTTAATTATATCTTATTATGTAATTTTGTTTGCTTGTATCCATTATAATTTCAAATAAAAAAACCCAAACAAACAAAAACACCATACAATATGACTCGAGTTCATATATTTGAGGAAAAAAAAATCCATGGATTAATGGAAAATTAGATAATAAAGAATCAAATAGTAAGAGAAAAATGATGAGATTCTCAATATTTACAACAATTAATTTAGTTTGAAACTTCCATTTAAACCAAGCCCTCCGAACAAATTAAAACTTCTGGTTTTGTCCTTACCTAAGGACAAATGGTCCTCATATATATCTTTTGTTCGACATGAATATCATATTTTCATCGGTGCAGGCTCAAGGTCCCACATTTTTAACCACATTATATATAATGGTTCACACATGATAATTATAAAGGCCTCTATTCATTTTCTTTTTTAATTAAGGCCAGCAGTACATGTGTGTCAAATTTCAAATGTGTATTTATACAGATAATTAAGGATCTCAGCTTTATGTGTATTAAGAGTGTAATGGAATTTTCAGCAAAATAAAAACAAAAACATAAATATTGTGAAAAACATAAACTTGAAAAATTGGATTTCTACCTAAGATTGTCCTTACTCTTTTAAGGTTTTATACATCTGTGTCTACACTTATGCAACTATAAAAGATACATTCATAATACACACACATATAACTAGTAGAAATTATAGTAAACAAAAACTTTTTAATTAAATATTACTTACAGACTTAAAAACTTGAAAAATCATTACACGTTTTGTTACCCAATGATTATGGTTAATTTGATGCACTTCACAACTAATATTGGTTATCTCTCATGCATTAAATCTTGCAGTTTTTTTTAACTTTTAAAGCATAGCCTATCCTGGAGAAAGTTTTGAAATAAAAGAAGTTTGCTAGCCAAAAAAAAAAAATCCTTAATAAAACTTAGAGTAACCAATTTCTTTATTTTGTATTTTTAAAATTGAACATTGTATTAAAAAGAATAAGATTCTATAAATTTCACACTTTATGGTATATATTAATAAATATTACCTATATGCTTAATTATTAATTGGCTAAGGCCCCATATGATCTTTGAGCTGGCCCTGGTTTTCATGATGCCATTTCGTCTAATTGTATGTTAGACAAAACAGCTAGAAATGAAACAATAAGTCAGAATGGAGGCGAAGAAGACGATCTGGACCTTCCTTTGTTCAACCTGTCTTCTATAATTGCTGCCACTGGAAATTTTTCAGAGGACAATAAGCTTGGAGAAGGTGGTTTTGGATCGGTATACAGAGTAAGTTTCTGATACGCAAATTTGAGAACAAAACAAAAAAAGGGAAATATCTAGGCCTTGTTCCGTAAATGTTTCATTTTTTTTGTTTTCTTCGCATCCAAGAGCGGGCTAACAGCTCCAGCAGCTCCATAAGATGTTGCGCGCCTAAGAAATTCTGCAGCATTTTTTCAATTTTTAAAAAAGAAAAAATCGTTTTGGTACCCTCTGTTACAGAAAAACATCTCATTAGTACCATGTGTTTTTAATAATATAAAAACGTACCTTCACTTTTAAAGAAACGTTCTTTTAGTATCATGAGATTGATTTTTGACACATACAATGTCTAAACTACAATTTTCATTAACTAAATAGAAATTAATAACTTTAAAAATATTTTCTAAAAATAATTTAACTTATTTTGATTATTTTTTAAATGTTTTAAGTATTTTCCTAACTTTTAAATATATATATATATATATATTTGTGTGTTGTCCAGTTTGAAGCGTATAGTGGACATTTAATGTTCCAAAATCGGTTTTAGGGTACTGAAGAATGTGTTTTAAAATACAAAAAGTACCAGTGAGATGTTCTGTGATAGCAGAGGGTACCGAAATAATTTTGTTCCTTTAAAAAAAAGTATGGATGTTGCATGGCAACACATTGACAATAAAAATATATATGGTTGAGATTTTCAGGGTAAGCTAGAAGATGGACAAGAAATTGCTGTGAAGAGGCTATCAATAAGTTCTTTACAAGGATTAAATGAGCTAAGAAATGAAAAACTAATTGCCAAACTTCAACATCGAAATCTTGTGAAGCTTCTTGGTTGTTGCATTAATGAAAAAGAGAAATTGTTGGTTTATGAATATATGCCGAACAAAGGCCTCGACTCTTTCATTTTTGGTAAGAATCCCAATCCACCTAGATTACATAATAACTTTTACTCTGATTTTGCTTCGTTAACTTTGAAAACACTTTGACAGATCAAAATCAAGGAAAATTACTAGATTGGTCAAAGCGCTTCAAAATTATTTGCGGAATTGCTCGAGGACTTCTATATCTTCACCAAGATTCTAGATTGAGAGTGATACATAGAGATCTCAAAGCTAGTAATGTTTTACTTGACGATGAGATGAATCCTAAAATTTCAGACTTTGGCTTGGCAAGACCTTTTGTAGGAAATCAGACAGAAGAACAGACAACCAGAGTAATTATAGGAACCTAGTGAGTATTATTCTTTCATACTTTTTATTATTATTTTTTTAAAAAAAAACATTGCATATAAAGTACCTCCAATAACATTTGTTCATTTCTTGCTTCCATCTAATGATGTTGTGTAGTGGCTATATGGCACCCGAATATGCATTTGATGGGCTATTCTCAATAAAGTCAGATGTCTTTAGCTTCGGTATATTGGTGTTGGAGATTGTAAGTGGAAAGAAAAGCAGAGGCTTTCAATATCGAAATTCCCTCATTGGACATGTAAGTTGTCAAAAAGCTTCACTAGCTGTTATTACATCCAAATTGTCAAAATTCAAATTGTCAATAATGACACTTATAGAATTTTCAATTTTCTAGGCATGGAAATTGCATGAAGAGGGTAATTCAATTGAAATGCTTGATAAGCACTTAAGGGAATCGGACCACAATCTAAAACAAGTGTTGCGTTGCATTCATGTCGGTCTCTTATGCATGCAACAAAGTCCGATGGATAGACCAAACATGTCCTCTGTGGTTTTGATGTTGGGAAGTGAGAGTGAGCTGCCTCAGCCCAAACCACCCGGCTATTTCACAGAGATGCATTCGGCGAATGGAGACCCCGAATCATCTTCGACGAATGATATGAGCACTTCCCTTCTCAGCCCTAGATAAGGCTCGATTAATGTCTAACTATAGCAAACTTTAGGTAAGAAATCCAAACATTAACGTTATTAGTTTATATGAACTTGTAATCTCTAAGAAATCAATTAGTATAGATGTTAGAAATTTATCAAGATTTAGACAATGAATTTCTTGATACTCATTTGAACTCTATCAATGTATTTTGTGACGATAATTAATGAAATATATATCGTGTGTCATGTTTTATTAAATTCCAGTCGGTGAAATTACATGAAATGCGTTCAATGTTTTAATGCAATGAATCACGGAATGAAAAAAATTCAATGAATCCGGTTATATGAAGTTATGAAGTGAAATAACTTTTTATGATGCACCAAGATATAATAACAGAAATGATAGATTTCTAATTATGTGACATTGCAATATACAAATCCAAATGCGTGATTAGATAATCTATGGTATTTATAGAAAGTTTAAGAAATAGCCATCATCGGATATTCTTCTGGTGCAATGAAACTACGGTAACAATAATTTAAGCATCCCAAACAAATTATACATGTCCTATATTCAGTATATATAAGTAAATTCGTTGTTAGTATACAATTTGACTGCAATTACGATAAAGTTCAAAACAGATTTGATCAAAGCAATTAGGATAAATAGGTAGATAATTAGGGGAAATAAAATTGAATGGTCTAGATACACGGTGGTTAGCAATCAAGGACCATGATGGTTGTAAAAAAATGATGACGATGATTGTGGCTGAATTTCAACGGAAGGAATGTACTGGTAAAAATTTTACGTGGAAAATGTGCAAACCATGCATCAATTAAGGTGAGTGTTAGTAGGACAAGCTCCAGTACCTTTCTAATTTAGCCCTCTTTAATTAAAATATACAAATTAAGGAAATACAATTGTTAGGAGGGAAATCAATAAATAACAAGAAAATAAAGTAAATATCAAACTAACAAAATAAAATAAACTAAAACCAAATAAATTAAAATGCAATAAAACTAGAATAAAATAAAATACGTTAAAATACAAAAAATTAAACTAAAAAAATTAAAATCTCAAGAACATAACCATTTTAAATGCATAAAAAATGGTAAAGTAACTATATTCCATAGAGTTAACTATATTCCTAATAAATAAATAGTCCACTAGAACAAGCATGATCCGATGGCATTACTTATAGGTGATGACCAACGTCAGCACATGCCCCGGGCATTATTAAAGAAGCAGTATTTGCTTAAGTCATTGATGGCAGGCCCTACCCCTCAACGAAAAGCGCATCAATTCTGTCATCATAGGAAAAAGCCTTCACGTTATAAATACCCAATCACGGTCGTCCTTTATTGTTAGGCTACCAGCTTCTGTCGTATTTAACAGTAAGACCTTGAAAGATATACTTTTTTCTTTGAATGTAAAATGACGGTCGTCCTTTTGCATTTCAAGAATTATTTTTTTAGACAAAATTCATTAAAAAGACTAAATATTGGATTCCTTTAATGAATTAATCCCATTGTTGGCTAGCTGATATTACACGCCTTAATTTGTTGACTTGGAAGAAGTATTAGACTGCAAGAATTCGTTGGAGAGACTTATCTGTTTAGTCAAAAAAAAAAAAAAAAAAAAAACATGTTGCCGTACCAATCACTTCTTAATTATTGAACTTTGCACCTATTCTGTTGTAGTTTATGTTGTCCCTACAATTAGTGTAATCCATGTAAAACGTTCTCTACCTTAAAATTGTTTGGTCGATAACAAGAGTTTCTGCGACCAAATAAACTTTTGGTCGCATATTGTAACATTTCACTAATAAAGTTGAATACAATTTAATTGTCTTCGTATGTTGATATTTATAATTTTTAGTAGTTATTTTACACTCATTACTCAAAAAATAATTAGTCATGATAATTTGAAATCAATTAGAAGCGTTGACTACATAAAACATATTAATCATATAACTATAACATGTATCTAACTACTTACTACTTATAAACTCTTCAGCACATTTACTTGAACTCCTATTTTTAAATTAAAATCGTACTAAACAATTATAGATGATTGTGTTTAAACTTTCACTATTTTAAATCAATTAGCAATATAAAAAATCATAAATAAGCAAAAAATACAAAAAAAAAAGAAAAAAAACACTTGAAGAGAATTTGCAACCAAATAAGTATTTGATCGCAAAAAAAAAAAAAAAAAAAGAAAAAAAACACTTGAAGAGAATTTGCAACCAAATAAGTATTTGATCGCAAAAAAAAAAAAAAATGAAAAAGCCCTTCTGTACAAACTTTTCTTTGGTCGCAGATAATGGACATCTGAGACCAAAGTTTGATCGCAGAAAAAGAGTTTCTACGACCAAATAAACTTTTGGTCGTAAATTGTAACATGTTACTAATAAATTTGAATACAATTTAATTGCCTTCTTATTTTGAAGTTTATACCATATTAGTTTACTTCATGTACACATTGAGGAAGATTTAATATTTGGAAATGAAATGATCAAATGTGACATTTTAGCGGTCAAATACATCTTTTTCATAAATCAAAATTAGAAGAAAAAAAAAATAAACTTGTCCACCATTCTTTAATCAATCGAATAAAAAATGCGCTGGTCAATGGTGCCTGAAGAAGACTGGATACTGCAAATTGACACCTGCCTTCCCCTGTGCTCCAAGCTACCTTCTCAAAGTTACATCACAAGATGTTTTCTGCCTTCAATTTACATCACCTAATGTAGGAAGTCGGAGAAATAGAACAAAATGGCCAGTTTTCCCACTTTAATGTTTAGAATTGCTGTTGTTTTCCTTTTTCTCTTCCACACAATTTCCACGGCAGTTAATAGAATTGATCCATCGGAATCTATAAGCGATGGCACGACTTTGGTTTCTAAAGAAGGAACCTTTGAGCTTGGTTTCTTTACTCCAGGAAATTCTACGAACCGTTATGTGGGAATTTGGTACAAGAACATCCCAGTTCAAAGAGTCGTTTGGGTCGCAAACCGCTGCAACCCCATAAATGATTCCTCTGGCTTGTTGACCATAAGCAACACAGGCAATCTTGTGCTTTTGTCTCAGAATAAGAGTGTTGTGTGGTCAACAAACTCATCGAAACAAGCCCAAAAACCAATAGTAGAGCTTCTAGATTCTGGAAATCTTGTACTAAGAGATGGGGAAGATAGAAATAGGGAGACCTATTTGTGGCAAAGCTTTGACTATCCCTCAGATACAATGTTGCCAAACTTCAAATTCGGGTGGGATTTGAGGACGGGTCTTAAGCGGCGTGTCTCGGCTTGGAATAGTTGGGATGACCCTTGTCCTGGAGATTTCACTGTTGGGTTTGAGTTTGATCCACAACTTCATACGTTCCCTGAAGCTTATTTCCGGAAAGGCTCAGCAAAGTTCTACCGCTCCGGACCTTGGAATGGCATTCGTTTTAGCGGCTCACCGGAAATAAGGGAAAACCCACTTTATAGTTTCGAGTTTGTATATAATGATGATGAGGTGTATTACACATACAACCTCAAGAATAGGTCCGTGATCTCAATAATAGTTATGAACCAAACCACAAGTCTTCGTGAGCGCATTATCTACATAGAGGCGGATCAAACTTGGAAGCTTTACTCATCAGTACCTAGAGATGACTGTGATAAGTATGGTGTCTGTGGAGCCAATGCGAATTGTATTATAAACAACAATCCGATCTGTCAATGCCTAAGAGGATTCAAGCCCAAGTCTCAAGAGAAATGGAATTTGATGGACTGGTCGGAGGGATGTGTACGGAATAATCCATTGAACTGTACAAAGAAAAATGAAGATGGGTTCATCAAATTTTCGGAATTGAAAGTGCCAGATACAACACATTCTTGGGTGAATAAGAGTATGAATTTAGAGGAATGCAGGGCCAAATGTTTAAGCAACTGTTCTTGCACGGCGTATACAAACTCCGATATCAGAGGGCGAGGCAGTGGTTGTGCCATCTGGTTTGGTGATCTGATGGACATCAGGCAATTTTCCAGTGGTGGACAAGATCTATTTATACGCATGCTAGGTATGAGCGTAATTATTTCATAAAAATGTCATCAATTTTTCTTTTTTTGGTAATCTTCTTGCTACAATTTGATTTGATTTTCTTTTGGGTTTTAAAATAACTTAGAAAAACGAAAAGCTGATAGTAAGATGAGAGCAGTGCTGATAGTGGCTGCTGCCATTGGTGGTTTTTCTGGGTTGCTCCTACTTGGCTATTGCGTTTGGAGGAGAGCCTCAAAAGGTAATAACCTTTGTTCTTACTCTGTTTTCGTTTTCCTTCAAAAAAAAAAACAAAAAAAAAAAAATATTTTTGTCGTGTCTGAGAGAAATATGGCCACATTTGTTGACTTTGGACCAACCCAAATGAAAGTGACACTTTATTTTGGCAACATGTGAAGAGTCCATATAAAAGAGCAACAGTCACTCCAGAAACAATTATCCTAACACGTATTCCTCATCTAATTATTGTTTAAATGTGGTTCAAGTTTTCTGATACACCTTTGATTGGACAATTTTGTTTTTGTGCTTTGTTATTTATTTATTTTGAACAAACGTAGCAATATTAAGCATTACCGAAGTCTTAAGCACATCCCAATCACCTGCTTGGTTTTTTTTAAAGAAAATAGAATACAAGATGAATCCTCAAAAAATCAGTTTAATTAGCCGGAAACTGCTTTTGGTTTTTTTTTTTTTTTTCTAGAAAATAAAATTCTGCTTGGTGTGCAATTATGCCTTGATTCTTTGTCTTCAAGGTATAAATAAGACATGCATAAACTCTGAAAAAATTACCGCTGGACTTTTGAGTTTTTTTTTTTCCTGAAGCGTTTGACTATTTCTAACTCCTCGCAGCGTGCGCGCGAGCCATAAGAGAGTGTCATGTGTGCACTTCAACAGCACACTCATTAGTGCAGTGAAAATTGGATTACCTACGACAACTCATCTTGCATTTCTACTTGAACAATTCATAAAATAACAGCTATTGAAAATTTTAAAGATTATTTATTTTACAGTTAGAGTATGATTATTTGTTATTCCAATTTTGGTTTGAGTCACCTTGCCTTAGTTCCATGATATCTTTAATCTTTAACAATATAAAAAATGGAAAGTGAGTTCTTATAGATGTTCTTTTATGTGTAAAAGCTCATAACTCATATGTCTTACACGGGTTTTTAGCATAATTTCATATATATATATATATATATATATATTTATATATACATGTGTACATGTATATGTATATGTCGTCTAACATGAAAATCAAATTTTCAAGCCATTTCGTCTAATTATATTTGACAAAACAGATAGAATTCAAACAATAAGTCAAGATGGAGACCAAGATGAAGACATGGAACTTCCTTTGTTCAACCTATCTTCTATAACAGCTGCCACTGAAAATTTTTCAATGGACAATAAGCTTGGAGAAGGCGGTTTCGGACCCGTATATAGAGTAAGCTTCTGATACCTAAATTTGATAATAGAATGAAAAAATGAAGTATATCTAGTCCTGGTGTAGCGAGTGTTTGATTTTTTCATATTTAGTTTGTCTTAAATATTACAGGTGTTAAAAGTAAAACGGGTCAATTTCACTGGTACCTGCTGAATTTAAGGGTCATTCCTTGTTTACACCCCGAACTTTAAAATTTGTGACCTTGCCTCATTTTATTAGAATTTCACTTAAAATCATACGGAGAAAGAGGGGATGAAATGTGGTCATGTGGTCTTTTTTTAGTTTATTTTTAACAAAAATACTATGTGACTGCATTATCCCTTTTTTTTTTTTGTATCTTTTTCACAGAATTTCACTTACACCCCGAACTTTAAAATCTCTGACCTTGCCCCCTTTTGTTAGAATTTCACTTAAAATCATACGGAGAAAGATGAAATTTTTTGTGGTCATGTGGTCTTTTCAATTTGTTTTTAACAAAAATACTATGTGATTGCATTATCCCTTTTTTTTTTTTGTATCTTTTTAACAAAAATTCCAATAGAGGGAGCTAAATGGGATTAATTTAAAATTAGAGATCAATTCACAAATTGGGAATGATTCCAAATTTTAAGGGGCAGCAGTTAGATTAATCCAAGATAAAATAACAATATGTTACTCTTTTGCTAATATTTGTGATTTACAGGGTAAGCTAGAAAAAGGACAAGAAATTGCAGTCAAGAGGCTGTCAATAAGTTCTGCACAAGGAGTAAAAGAGCTAAAAAATGAAGTAAAACTAATTGCCAAGCTTCAACATCGAAATCTTGTGAAGCTTCTTGGTTGTTGCATTCAGGAAGAAGAGAAATTGTTGGTTTATGAATATATGCCCAACAAAAGCCTCGACTCTTTCATTTTTGGTCAGAAACAGAATCCACCTAGATCACATAATGAATTTTTTTCTATAGTGTTGCTTGATTAAACTGGAAAAATCATTGACAGATCAAAAGCAAGGAAAAGGACTCGAATGGTCAAAGCGCTTCCACATCATATGCGGAATTGCTCGAGGACTTCAATATCTTCACCAGGATTCTAGATTGAGAGTAATACATAGAGACCTCAAAGCCAGTAATGTTTTGCTTGACAATGAGATGAATCCCAAAATTTCAGACTTTGGCTTAGCCAGAAGTTTTAGAGGAAACCAAACTGAAGAAAAGACAAACAGAGTAATCGGAACCTAGTTAGTATTCTTCTTTCTTTCCTTTTTTTAAAAATTAAATACAAATTACATTCTGACTAAAATATGATCTTCTTTTGTCTCACTATCTAATGATATTGTGTAGTGGCTATATGGCACCCGAATATGCAATTCATGGCTTATTCTCAGTAAAGTCAGATGTCTTTAGCTTTGGTATATTAGTGTTGGAGATTGTAAGTGGAAAAAAGAGCACAAGCTTTCACCTTCAAAATCATGGCCTTACCCTCATTGGACATGTAATTTTCAAAAAGCTTCATGACAAGTTTTTACGCAAAAGTAGTAATTAAATTTATCAATAACGACACTTTTTTTTTTTTTTTTTTTTTTTGGCAATTTTCCAGGCATGGAAATTGCGTAAAGAAGGAAAGTCAATTGAAATGCTTGATAAGCACTTAAGGGAAGCAGAACACAATGTAAAACAAGTGTTGCGTTGCATTCATGTTGGGCTATTATGCGTGCAACAAAGTCGGGTCGATAGACCAGACATCTCGTCTGTGGTTGTGATGTTGGGAAGTGATAGTGAGTTACCTCAGCCCAAACCACCCGGCTATTTCCTAGAGACGGATTCAGATAAAGGCGACCTTCCCTTTACAGAGCTTGCATCATCTTCAAAAAATGATATGAGCATTTCACAGCTTGTAGCACGATAAGGTACAATTATAGCAAACTTTTTTGCAAGATCTACCACATTATTATATATAATGTCTGACTGATGAATGATCCGTTCTCTCTTGATTCACAGTAGGCTATTTCAATGATATTACCTATTTGTTCTCATGTTTTTGGTAGCCAAAACCACCAGGCTATTTCATGGAAATAGATTCTCAAGAGATTATGCCTAATTTATTTTCTAAAAACAGTGACCGCAACAACACTTGAGGCCTATTGCATGATCATAGCAACATGTTTTTGTCGTGTTGTATGTGATAGTGATAAAATCATGAAAAGATCGGGACTGGTGATCAACTGGATATGCTATATTTACTAAGCAGTGCCGTGTAGTATCTAATAACTCAACAGAGTACGCTTACCCACAAAGAAAAAAAAAAAAAAAAAAAAAAACAGTACAAAATGGAAAGAATTTCGTATAAAATATTATGCATTTCATATAGTAAGTACTGTTCGCACTTTAAATACCATTTACTATTCTATACCATTCACTATAAATAAAATACATAAATACCTAAATAAGAAAACAAGTGTCTCCAGTTTACTATTCTGTACCATTCACTATAAATAAAATACATAAATAACTAAATAAGAAAACAAGTTTCTCCAGAATAAGGAGAAAGTTTTAGGATGGTTTTTTTTATTAGATAAGTGTTTGGAGACACTTGTTTTCTCATTTAGATATAATTATTTATGTATTCAGTTATATTGCACTTACTTATGAAAGGGGTATAAAATATGTGTATCATTTAGTTATATAGCCCCGTTTAGTTCGTTGATTCGAAATTTATTTATTTGAGCTTTTCTATTTTGACAGAAGAATTTGAACTATGTAATCTAAATTGTAGTTCGAATTGGCGTTTAGATGTACAGTTAAAATTTTAATTTGATAGGAAACAAAATTCGAATTTGTGTTTGGTAGGTATAAAAAGTAGAGAGAATGGCACATTTTTACTATCTAAAAATGGTTTGAATTTTTTAATTCAGTTCAAACAGGAATATAATTCGGACTACGTGCATACCAAATACGAGTTCAAACTGTGATCACTACTCAAATTGAGTTAAACTGGTTTTCTCCATTAAATTGGAACAGTAGTTAAGGAGATATAAAGTGTGTAAAACTGTAAATCATTTCATAGTAAAATGATAATACCAAAGGTTGCAGCTTTGATTTGAATTTTCATTTTTTTGAGCATGCAAAATTGTGATCAAAATGCAAAAGTACTTGTGGTCCACTTGATTGGATATTTGAATATATTGGTATAAGTACCATAATTTAGGGGATTTTTTTTAAATAAAAAACAATCTTATAACTACTAAATTATGAATAGAATTGCAGGATATAAACAACCTATTAATATGAAGTTCAGGAGACATGTCAAAATAGGATATAAAACAAGAGAAAATTACGTGTTATATCATCAAAATCCAATAACTTTACATTTATGTTATTTTTGATGATTTAAAAAGAATAATATTCTATCAGAATACTCTTCGAAGAAATCCGTATATCTTTGTTGAAAAAAAAAATAGTTTGATAAAATATTAAAACTTTTAGTGAATTGAGTGGTATTTGGGACGCAATAATGTAAAAATTACATCATTTGAGTGATATTTTTGTACTTCTCACATAAAACAACTCGTTTGGATGAAGCTAAAACTCATGGCATGCGTGTTCGCAAAGGGGTGATGAGCCCACCCTATTGGGCCTGATGGGTTACTATTAGAGTATTATCCCTCACAGAATTTGCAGCGTAAACGTTGGATTGTCCCTGTAATATGGGAGTTTTAGACTGGAGCAGGGTATTTTACACCATTAGTCAGAATGATATTTTTACTGTTAGATTAATTTTTTAATGGTCAGATTTATAAGAATAATTTTATTTGGTGCACTATAATTTTTTAATATGGACTTGTAGAGATTTGACAGTTAAAAAGCTAATCTAACAGTTAAAAATAATTGTTCCAACCAATAGAGTAAATAAAATGCTCCACCTTAAATATTCTCTTAAATTAATTACATAAAATGCCTACTTTTAAAGTCTTGAATCTAAAAATACTCACTTATATACAATATTAAAAAAATGTCAATTTCTGGATATAAAACACATCTAATACCGGATGTACTACAGTTAAAAACTGATAGAGTAAATAACATGCTCCATTGTAAATATTCTCCTAAATTAATTACATAAAATGCCTACTTTTAAAGTCTTGAATCTAAAAATACTCACTTATATACAATATTACAAAAATGTCTATTTCTAGATATAAAACACATCTAATGCCGGATGCACTCATAGGCATGTTTTTTATATGGTGATTTTTTTTATTATGTGGGCTGATTTTATATGGTCATTTTTTTATTATGTGGCTGATTTTTTCTGATAATATAGTGCATTTTGACTTTCCATTTTAACCTCAATTAATATTCTATAATAAGTTTTTGATTTAATATTTCTACTCTAAATTATCAAATTTTTTTCCACTCTTTTTTTAAAGTTAGGTGTGAATAGTTGCTGATTCCAACCTGAATAGTTGTAAGGGATAAAATTGTTGGGTGTGCTAGGAGATAACAGTCGGTTTTGTCTTCTTGTTGATTTTATCAATACATTAGCTGCGTTGGTAGTGATTTGCAAAAACAAAAGATTCGTACAACTTTTGTCGGTAAGTTCTATGCGTCTCTGTGAATAGTGATTTGCAAAAACAAATGATTTGTACAACATTTGTTGGTAAGGTTCTATACATCTCTTTGTCTCTTTCTTTGTCTTTTTTTTTTTTTTTGACATTGCCATAATTTTTTGCTTTTTTATTCATCTGATTCACTTATTTGGGGGGTTTTGGCAGATTGCAATGTTTTACTGCGTTCTATTTTATTTTATTTTTTGTTTTTTCAATTTTCTTGCAAGATTTACATTCATTCTCTTTAATAATAACATCATCATTAAAAAAAAATGAAAAAATCGTTATTTTTTAGTTCATAGCCGAGTTTATTAGTATTATAATAATAATTGTTTGACGAATTGTTTTTTGTGGATTTTAATTTTTTCAGATTTATTGCGACCTATATATTGGTTCTATTTTATAATGTTATTATCATTAACATAATGAAAATGTTTTCTTCATAATTGTTGTGGGGGAAAATGTGGGGGACGTGTGGAAGGATGATAATATGACACATGGCCTTAACTTCTCCTCACATAGCAACAACCCTCGACGTATGGGACTCCCTTCCATCCCGTTGCGAAGAGCCCAAGTAAGAAGTCTAACTTAGGGCGTCGATGTCATCTGGTGTCGACAGATCGCACCGTCGACCTTACAACATAAAAATCCCTCATCATAAAATCGACTGCCAAGAGGGACAATTGGGCTAAACAACACTGGCGACGAGGGGAATGCTCCTTGGGGGAGAGCCTGACATGGCAAGTTGTGTACAGTAACGGGGAATGTCTGCAATGCAAGCATTAATTGCAAACCTTTGAGCCGCCCCACGGGGGACAGAAAAGGGTTACATTACGCATAGAGCCGTAATAGGAGACTAAATTGGCTGAGTGAACAGTACTCCAAGTGATTAGTGGGCTATGTTTGGGCCTAGAAAGGAAGAGCACTTGAGTGCTTCTGCCTGCAAAGGAAACCCACCCAGCGAAAGAAGCTCCAATATAAAAGAGGCAAAGCCCCGTACAGAAAGGGGGTTCATGTCCAATAAAGAGAAAAAAGAACAAGAGAGCAATTGATGTAAATTGTAATCACCTCAAAATGAATATACAACCATAGTGGATGTAGCTCTGATTTTATAGAGTGAACCACTATAAAATCTCTCGTGTTCCTTTACTTTAAAGCATTATTCTCCCAAATTACTCATCCCTCTAAAAACATCAAACACCTTCGGTACAAAACTCTTACACATAACCTATATTAAAGCTGGTAATCCGACGGGAAACCTAGAGGTAACCCGGCCTGTTTTGGTTGACGAAAATTCACCGTCAACAATTGGCGACTCCGCTGGGGACCGAACGCGTTTGACCCCCAACAACAACATAGTCAGCAAGCATGCCTCCGAGAAGAAGAATTGAGGCCATCAACCAAGGCAGCCAGATGGACGAGACCGCCACTCATCCAATGAATGACGGGGTGGAGGAAGGTCCACCCCCGGTTAGAAATGAAGTCCCGCCCCCAGACGTGCCGCGGCCACAAGATCGGGAGCCGGCGTCTTGTTGATCAGCCCAGAAGGCCACAAGATCACCTCGGCGGTTCGATTTAAATTCAAAGCGTCGAACAATGAGGCAGAATATGAGGCGTTAATTGTAGGGTTGCGATTGGCCAGTCACTTAAAGATTGAGAGGCTCAGCATCTTCAGCGACTCTCAATTGATCGTCGGGCAAGTGAAAGAAGAATACCAAGCACGCGGCGAGAAAATGGGTACGTACTTGAGAAAGGTGAAGGAAGAAATCATCAAGTTCAAAAACTACGAGATACTTCAAATACCATGAGCCGAAAACGCAAACGCCGATGATCTATCAAAGCTAGCATCTTCAAAAGATTTCGACGCACTAGGGGTCGTTCCTATCGAAGAACTGGAGCGGCCGACTACTGAGGAAATAGCGAAGGCACTAATCATCCAAATAGGTGAAAATTGGATGACGCCACTCATCCAATACCTAATGGATGCACAACTGCCAAACAATAAAGACGAAGCCAGACGGATCAGGTATAGAGCCGCCAGATACTTATTATACGACGGTTTGCTTTACCGACGAGGCTATTCAACACCTCTACAGCGGTGCTTGGATGATGACGAAGCCCAGAAAGTCCTCCGAGAAATCCATGAAGGAGTCTGCGGTAATCATACTGGGGGGCAGTCTTTAGCTCTTAAGGTTTTGAGGCAAGGATACTACTGGCCTACGCTCAAAAAGGATGCTTTCCAGTATGCCCAACGTTACGATAAGTGCCAAAGGTATGCCACAATTCCTAGAGCACCCCCAGAAAATTTAACCTCCATTCTCAGTCCATGGCCCTTCGCCAAATGGGGGGTTGACCTAATCGGGTCATTACACCTTGCACCTGGAGGCTTTAAATTTGCCATCGTCGCAGTAGACTACTATATAGAGTGGGCAAAGGCAAAAGCTCTGACTACAACCACAGAAGCAGCCTGCACCAACTTCATGTGGAACAACATTGTGTGCAGGTTCGGGGTTCCCCACTCAATAGTATCCGACAATGGGAAACAGTTCGACAATACCTCAACACGCAGATTCTGCAACAGCCTGGGCATTCAAAAAGACTTCTCGGCGCTACTCCATCCACAATCTAATGGGCAAGTCAAAGCAGTCAATAAAATATTGAAGTATACCCTAAAAAAGAGA